TAATTTATTTATTTCAATATTTTTTATTATATTTAATTGAAGAACTTCCGAATAATCGAAATTTCGTGTAAAATTGAATTGTAAACAAATGGATTTGAAAATTCTCAAAAAAAACTTTTTCAAAAATTATTAAAAATAGATTTAGAGATGAATTTTAGTTAAAAATTCTAGTAAATAATAAGTGAATTGAAATGATGAAAATAATTTTGTAGAAGTTACAGTAACAACATTCTTATAATAAAAAATAATGATTTTATACTTTAATTATTATCAAACATGAAGAAATCGATCGATCGAGTCTTCGACTCGGAGTGATCGATTCTTCATGTTTTATAATAAATATTTTTATAAATTGTTTAAGTTTGAAAAAGTTTGAATTTAAATGTTTTGAAGAATTTTAATTTCCATGGAAAAATAATAATAATTAAATATTTATTTGAAAAAGAAGTTATTGATGTTTTCGAATAATTTTACTTTTCAAGAAATTTGTAAATAGATGTAGCAGAACATTTTTTTTGAGTATTTTTTCCTTAATTTTCTAAAAATTCAAAAATTTTCAATTTCATTAAAATTTGTAATTAATAACCATTTTTTTCCTCATTTTTAAAAAACTGAATTTTATTTAAAAAATTTTATTGAAGAATTAGAAATGTTGCAAATTATTTCCTTATGAAAAATTGAAAATTGAGAATTTTCTACAAAAATATTAAGAAACGAAAATGTTTTTTTTCCAAAAGAAAAGAATGAATTTGTGAACAATATTTTTATTGAGAAACAAAAAATTATGCAAAAATAGGTATTTATTTTCTATTTTTTAATAATAATTTTTTAACAATTAACAATTAACAATTTTCTATTTTTTATAAATAAAAAGGAGAAAACATTGCATCAAGTCAAACGAAATTTGTTATAGAAAAAAAGCATATAATAAACAATTATAATTTAAAAATTAATAAATAACAGAAAAAAATTATTATTCTGATTAAAATTTTTGAAAACTGAGATTGTAATTATAATTTAAAAAATAATTAAATAATAATAATAAATAATAATTTAAAATATAATTCTAATTATAATTTAATTATAAAATCAATTAATAATACACCTTAGGCAAATAACATGAAGACGAAGATTATTATAGTTAATTGTTATTAATTTATTTGTTTTTCTACTATTTTCCTAAATTATTTTTTGATCTTTTTTTCATCTAAAGTTGAAAACAAATAATTAAATTATCATCTTCATTATTATTATTATTAATTTCAATATTTTTAATAATTTAAATAATACTGACAATTATTATTTTTCTATTATTAATTTACGCTTTGTGATATTTTTTTCCATCCAATTAATTCGAATTTTAATTAACGCAAAGAAAATTCTATATTACGTAGGTCCAATTAGAGGCGAGAAAAAAAATTAAGTAATTAGAAGAAAAAATTGTCTACAACATTCATTTTTATTCTACTCCAACTATTTTTTTCCCTGTTTTATTTTGTTTTATTATTCTTTAGATCGATATTTCTTTTTTCTCACCACTATCATTTTGTGCCGTTAAAGAACCCTTTAGATTTTTATAATCTTAAGTGCTGAAAGGGATGATGAGAAATACACACACTAAAACTCACACACAGATGTTATACACAGAGTAAGTTAATTACCGATTGATCCGAGTCTCAGAGCCTTTCTAGACGAGTTTCATGAGAATCAAGATAGAAGTGTTTTAGTCACGAAATTCCGGTGGCCTCTTCCAAATACAATTACATGTCCTCGCTTTTAATTTATATAACTATTCTCAATCAAACGAACAAGAGAATAAAAACACTATGTATATATACGAAAACCGCCTTTTTTTCTCTCCCTTTTGCTTCCACAAGTGGTTGTGTCCTGCCGCGAAATGCGCGAAATTCACTCGTGGGTGTCACGAAAAAAAAACTATTCGATCGTCACGCAAATCATTAAATTCTCACAAGGGGGGAAAAATTCGACCAGTTTTCGATGAAAAAAAAATTTGAAATTAAAAAATATTCGTTTGAAGAAATCACTAATTTCAAAAAGGCCAACACCCAACTGTTTTTCTTTTTATTATTAAATCAAAAATAATGAGATGATTTTTTTTCTCACTACGTTCTGTTTGTTTTTGAATTAATAGAAAAAATCAAAAATCGCTGACAAACGATTGACAAATCATTGTCGTTTGTGATTAAAACTGACAACCTTCGAACTGACCTTCGATTGTTATTCACACCCTCGTATCACACACGTAACGCGCAAACGTCCATTATATTATATACATATATGTTTCCGAGTGACCATTTCCGAAATTAAATTAATTCAATACAGTATTTATATTTAATGACTAATTCTAGAGACTTTTTTTTATTTTGATTTTTAGGGTGAATTTTTAGAAATAGTGTTAATGAAATATTTATTGTTATTGTTGGAATTTGGAGGGAAATATTTTTTTGTTTTTGATTTTTTGAATTATTGGAAATTGTGGTCTTTTGGGGAGAGAAGAATGAATCACGAATTTTGTTTTTCTTTTTGGTATGGATTATTTTTTTCTCGTTTTGATAAGACACAAGGGGACAAGATAGGTTGGTTTCTGTTATCATGCGACGACTGATGTGCACCCCTGTGACGTTCGAGGAAAACAACGCCGGAAGCGAAGCGCCTGCGTGCTTTAAAGGATTCCAAGAAAAATGATACCAAGAGCGCTTGATCGAGAGTTGATGAGTTTATTGGAGGAGAGTTTAGTTGATCGCAGGTGGTCGCGACTCGGCGCTAGATTTTAAATTCTCACTCGCAATTTTTATTGTTATCAAGACTAAAGTTATACGTAAGTTTCACTTTATTTTTCCTCAGTGTTTTTTCAACATATTTTTTCTTATATTTCTTCAATTTTTACGTTTGAATTTATCATCTATGAAATTTTTCAAGTTTTATTTGTTTCTTTTCAATGAATTTATAAATTTTACTTTGTTCCAAATCATAAAATTTGTAAATTTTACTTTCCTTAAGTTTATAAATTTTATTTTTCTCAAATAAATTCTATTTTGTTCAAAATCATTAAATCTGTCAATTTTTTGGTCACCAAATTTGTAAATTTTATTTTCTCAAATTTTTAAATTTTATTTTCTTCAAATGAATTCTATTTTAAATAATCCAAATTAACAAATTTGTAAATTTTACTTTCCTCAAGTATATAAATTCTATTTTGTTCGAAATTGACAAATTTTTTAATTTTATTTTCCTCAAATAAATTAAATTTTGTTCCAAATTGACAAATTTTCTAATTTTATTTTCCTCAAAAAAATTATATTTTGTTAAAAATCATCAAGTTTTTTAATTTTATTTTTCTCTAATTTATTAATTCTATTTTCTTCCAAATCATGAATTTTGTAAATTTTTTTTTCATCAAATTTGTAAATTTCATTTTTTCAAATTTTTAAATTTTATTTTCTTCAACTGAATTCTATTTTAATCCAAATTAACAAATTTGTATAATTTTTACATTCCTTAAGTTTTTATATTTTATTTTCTTCAAAATCATCAAATATCTAAATTTTATTTTTCTCAAATAAACTCTATTTTGTTCCAAATCGTCATATATTTCTAAAATTTTATTTTCCTCAAATAAACTCTATTTTTCAAAATCATCAAATTTCTAAATTTTATTTTCCTCAAATAAATTCTATTTCGTTCCAAATTGTCAAATTTTTAAAATTTTATTTTTCTCTAATTTGTAAATTCAATTTTGTTCCAAATCATAAAATTTGTAAATTTTTTGTCACCCAATTTGTAAATTTTATTTTCTTAATTTTTTAAACTTCATTTTCCTCAAATAAATTATATTTTGTTCCAAATCATCAAATTTTTCAATTTTATTTTCTCAAATAAATTTTATTTTGTTCCAAATCATGAAATTTGTCAATTTTTTATTTACCAAATTTGTTAATTTTTTCTCTTTAATTTTTAAACTTTATTTTCCTCAAATAAATTTCATGGAATTATTAAACATTTAAACATTTAGTGAACATCATTTTTATTTTAAAGAAATTTCGTTAAATTGGAAATTTTTTTCTTGAATAATTGAGGCAATAATCGAAAATTTGAAAGAGTATTAAAATTTAGATCGAATGAAATTTTAGTCAATTAAAATTTACAATAAATTAAATTTCATATGAAGTGAAAACTTGAATTAATTTATAATCGAATAGAAATAAAGTTTGGATCAACTAAAATTGAAAAAGAAATAAAATTTCGACCAATTACAATTTAAATAGAAACAAAATTTGAATAACTTAAAATTAATGATACTAAGTTTTTTTAACGATATCAAATTGAGACAAAAAATGAATCAAAATGTTGCGAAGCAACGTTTTAAGTTTTTTTTTATATCAATTTGATATCCTTAGAAATGTGTAGAAATAAAATTTTGCTCAAGTAGAATTAAAATAAAAATAAATTCAATTAAATAAATAGAAATAAAATTTGAATCAATTAAAATTTAAACAGACATAAAATTTGGATCAATTAAAATTTAAGTAGAAATAAAATTCAGATCAATTAAAACTTGAATAGAAATAAAATTTTTTCTGACAAATTCGGATAAATCGAAAAAATTGAATTCAGTCAACTTATATTTTATTCCAATTTTTTTGTGAACAATTTGAATAGAAATAAATGTAAAATCACGAAAACTTTAGTCTTGATAAAGTATAAAATCCGAGAATAAATTACAAATCTATAATTCACAATGTCCAAATCTTTTTTTTTCTTTGTCAGATTTGAAAAATATTTTTCTTATTTTATTTGAGAGATGTCCATTATTTTCACGGGGGCGGATTTTTTTTTTATTGTGACTCAATTTTCCGCTATGTCAGCTTAACACGAGGGAAGATTTTTTTTCTACTTCTTCTTGTCAAGAAAAAATATTAACCTCGAGGCAAGTGGCGCTTTTTTCATATATCTATAAAAATGGGAAATAATTTACTTACCAGTCTGTGTGCTGCTGTCAAAAAAAGTGCTCGAAGTCTCGACTGTCATTGTTGCAAATGTCCCATCAGTTATCTGCGCTGAACTGTCTCTCCTGCCCCGATACCTTTGTACCTAAGGAATTGGAAAATAAATAAATTTCAGATAAACAAGGTATTTTTAATTTAAATACTTTTAATGATAGTTGAGTATATTTTTAATTTTTATATTCTTTTTTTTTAAATAAATAAATTTTGGTATTAGATAATTTGGAGAAAATTAATACGAACTGTATCGTCGCTTTGTGAACTTTGTCGGCGAAAATTTCGACACCGAATCATTTCCTCGGTGGTGCTTTGTCGTCTAAAACCGCGAGCTATTAAAATTTCTTCTGTTGTTGATTGTCTTCTAATTATTGGAGCATGTTGAATGCTGCCAGGTGCTCTCGCACACGGACTTGGATCTCTCGAGGAGCACGACGAACTGTCAGGAGATCTGAAATATTATGATAATTAAAAAATCATAATTTATAACAATTATTTTAATAAATTTTAGTTTTAATTTTTCAATAAATTATTTATAATTTAGTTTTAATAATCAGTTAATTATTAATTTCATCAATATTGTACTTTAATAGTAATGTAATTAAAAAATAATAAAAACACCTAATAAATAGTAAAAAAACATTAATTAATTTTACAACATTGTACAATTAAGTAGCATTAAGAAAATAAATTCTATTCTATTCTAAAAGAACAATTATTCAAATGCTTCAAAAGGAAGTTTTCTAATTTTAGTTCTTTCTCTCAATTATTTTATCTTAAAATGTATTTAGACAAGAAAGAAAGAAGAAAGTAATCGACAGATAATGTAATTGATGTTTGTAAACAGTATTTGACAAAATAGTGAAAAAAAGTGTTTACTAGAAAGTTTCGCTATTGTATAATACAGAAACTGTGGAGAGTAAACTTTTCAGTAGTACGTAAAGAATTAGGTCAGACTCACTGTCTCGCCGAGACTTTCCAGATCTACTTAATGGAAATTGTCTATTCAAGAATACATAGTCAGGTTGCAACATTATTGACAATTCTGTTTTCATTCTTAGTAATTAAAATTGATAAAAATAATCGATTTCGTTTTATCTTATAAATAAGGAAATACAGAGGATACGTATTGCTTTTGATAAAATAGTCGTTCTTTTTAGAAAGAAAGAATTAAGTTTAAAAAAAACAATTGTATGAAACACTTTTCTCAAATTCAATATTCAATAAAATTAATAATTTAATAACTATTACGATATTTCGAATTTTTTGAATTATTTTGAATCATTTTTTCGTTTTATTTTAAGAGAAGAAAATGTACTCAAACCAATTTTGAAGATGGAAAAACTATTCGTAATTTGTGAATGTTTTGTCTTTGTATTTTAATCTATATTATTAATCGTTTTATTAATTTTGAAATTAATGTATTAAAAATCATCGAATTATTGCAAAGGATTTTGTCAAAAAATTTGAGAATAATTGAATTCCTCATTGGAGAATGTTATTATTTATGAAAATAATCGATTTCCCGAGAAAATTTCATTAAAATTTTTAAAAATCCTAATTAAATTCTTTTGAAGAATTTCTTTGAATTTTTTTTTAAATAATGGAATTTCTTAAATAATTTGAATTGAAATATAGGAAATAATTAAATTCTTTTGAAGAAGATTGTGATTTTTAAATAACTTAGTTTTTTTGAATAATTTCAATTTAAAATAATTGAAATCCTGGAAAGAATTCAATTATTTATGAAAAAAATTGAATTCTTGACAAAAATTTGTTTCAAATTTTTGAATATAATTGCAATTCTGCAAAGAGTTCAATTATTTATGAATATAATTGAAATTCTGCAAAGCATTCAATTATTTATGAAAAAATTCAATTCTTTACAAGAATTTGTATCAAATTAATGAAAATAATTGAAATCTTCCAAAGAATTTTATTTTTTATGATGATAATTGAATTCTTGGAAAGAATTTTATTAAAATTTTTGAAAATAATTGAAATTCTGCAAAGAGTTCAATTATTTTTTAATATAATTGAAATCCTGCAAAGAATTCAATTATTTATGAAAAAATTGAATTCTTGACAAGAATTTGTTTCAAATTTTTGAAAATAATTGAAATCCTCCGAAGAATTTTATTATTAATGAAAATAATTGAATTCCTAAAAATAATTTTATTATTTACGAAAATGATAGAATCCATGTAAAAATAATTTTATTATTTATGAAAATAATTCAAATCTTGCAAAGATTTTTATTAAAATTTTTAAAAATAATAATATAATTGTTTCAATGAAAATTTAAATTCTTTGTAGGAATTTAGTTAAGATTGTATTGAAAATTATTAAATATTAAGGAAGAATTTTATTAAAAATTTTAGAAAATAATTGAATTCTTTGGGTAAATTTTATAACGAATTAAGAAAAAAATTAAATTCTTTCGTGAAATTTTATTGATAATAATGGAATTATTGCAAAGATTTTACTATTTTAAAATACAAAATTGTTTCGAAGGTTTCATTAAAATTTTGTTCGACAATAATTGAATTTTTGCAATAAATTTAATTATTTATAAATAGAAAATAACTTAATTCTTCCGAAGAATGTTATTATTTATGGAAATAATTGAATTCTTCCGAAGAATTGTATTTAAAATTTTTAATTTTTGGAAAAATAAAGTAATAAAATAAATAAATAAATAAAATAAAATATATAAAGTAATAATTAATTATGTACTTAATAAATGAATTTTTAAAGAGTTCCGTTTGCTGGTTTAAAAAGAAAAAGAAAAATCTTATAAAAAACTTTTCCTTAATAAGCAAAACCATTCAATAAAATTGACTCGAATTGTAAAAATTTTTAACTAGATGTATTAAATGTACTTTCTTCCCCCTTCGAATGACGTAGTTTCGCTCAAGTTAAATTGTAAAAGTTGAAAATATTTCTTAGCCCCCATTTTTTTCCTACCTCTCTCTCTCTCTCCCTCTCGTATTTTTACTATTTTATTCTTGATTATGGTTATTACCTTGGAGCGCGACCAGCGATTGAAGTTGATTGTCTTCTGAGTCGGGCTTTTCTTTGTCTGATTGGACTAATGTCTCTCTTATCCGCATTTCTGTCTGGACTCAAATGACTCCTAGAATCACGACGTCTTGGATAAGAGGCTGAATCTGGACTTAAAGAATCTCTTCGTGCTTTTCGACCTGTAAAATAATAAATAAATAAGTATCCTGTTCAATTTTCACCATTCCTTCTCGACGATTCGGAAAATTTTCTGTTTTCCTAATTTTCCAATCTGGACAAAAAGCCTTTGAGTTTATAAAATTTTCTTTGTGTTTCTTCTTTCTTTAAATTGATTTTGGATAAAGCTTGGAAAATTCTTTTATTAAAATTTAAAATTGCATTAAGATGAAAAAGTAAAATTTGCTCAATAATGTTTCTAAACTTTCGAACTTTCATATAATCGCCGATATTTTCTTTTTTTTCAATTTGAATTTTATTTCAATTTATTATTTAATTTACAAATTTACAAAAATTATTTTATTTTACAAAATTTATTTTACTTTACAAAATACAATTGAAAAATTAATTTTTCAATACTTTTCATTTCAGTTTAGTAATTTTAAAAAATTTTAAAGCACAAAAAATATTTCGTTTCCTTGAACGTTCAAAACTTTAGGAAAATGTGCAATATTACAAGGACAAATGGATTTTTCTTTCTTTTTAAGAAACAAAATTTTTTTAGCGTTCTTTAATAATTGTTATGTAATATTTACGATATTTAGGAATAATATTTGATTATATATCATTTATGATACTTGCCTCCGTCATCGGGATCGGGTGACAAAGTCGGTTGACTCTCTCGCCTTCCACTGGGAGGCAGACATTCATCCATGGCAGCTGATTGTCTCGTTAATCTCGGTATCTTGTTTGGAGAAACTTCCTTCCCTTTATAGTAACACTAAAAAGTTACAAGAAGTTAAAATACAATTCAGTTAATTAATAATTAATTGAAGAAATTAAAATAAAACAATTTTCAAATTTTGCTTCTTCTGGGAAAGTATTTTATCATTTTAATTTTAATTAAATATTTCAAATTTTGCTTTTCCTGAGAAAATAGTAAATTAATTTCTTTATTTTTTTATTATTTTCTTTTCTCATTTTTTTAATTTTATTATTTTCTTTTCTTTATTTTTTTAATTGTTATTTATTTATTTATTTTTTATTTATATATGTTTATTTTGAAATAAAAAATGAAATTGAAAATATTGATGTTGGGAAAGAAGGAGGAAGAAGAAAAATTACCTGAGTCGTTGAATCTCTTCTGGTAGACAGTAAAGGATGAGTCGGTGTTGTGCTCACGTTTGGTGAACCAAGGGGACTGGAACTTCCGGAATTTGAATTTAACGGAAGTGGAAGACTACTTCCGGCAACGGGCGAAATTGATGGCGGCGTTACCGAAGACATAATGATTGTCGGTGGATTAATGTTTGGCTCTAAAGTCAATGTTTTACTCTCGCACGACACTGACTTCATTTCAATAGTCGTCGGCGTTTTCGCTTCCAAATTATTCGACTTCTGTGTCTCCGAATGATCTCTGCAAAAAATTATTTTCATTACTCCTTTTTCTAATATTTTAAAAAAAAAATTAAAATTTTCCCAAATTATTAAAATTATACCAAAATACAGTAAATAAATTTTCAGAAAATTTACCAATGTCGAAAAATTAAAAATTAACAAAATTTGTAACTTGGAAAATTCTGAAATTTGCCATTCGCAATTTGTAATTTGCGAAACTAGTTTTTAGAATAATTTTTCCAGTTTCAAAATGTTTAGAATTTAAAAAAACTGTTTTGATATGTACGATACTTCTTTTATAATTTTTTTTCGGTATTGATTTTCATTTCATTTTCAAAATATGATATACGTGTATCAATAAAATAATAGTAGAAGAATCTGTTCATTTACAGAGTATATATTGGACAATTTTTAAAAGGTCACAAATTTGATATAAAGATACACCCCACGAGAAGCACGAACGTCACAGAATATTAGATTTATTGTCAATCAATAGCTGCAAAATAACTTCGAAAAAAAAATTGATACACACTATTCTTTCAACTGAAATAATTAAATGTCTTTGAAAATATATGCGACCTTACAATCTTTTGTATTAAAAATTTACATAAAATAAAATATATAAATCACAATATTTATTACCTTATTTACAAATTTTCAATTAAAAAAGTCTGGAGATTTTGGATTTTATTTTTATTCAAACTTTGTGTACTTCGCCAAGGGTAAAAGTGGAAAAAAAATGTTTTAAACCTCATTTAGAAAAAATGTATTTTTTCGAAATTTGAAATTTCGATAAGAAGGTAAATAAATATTGGGAAGAAAATTGGATTTCGTGATTACTGACCGAATAGCGAAACTCCCGCCACTGTCTGTACTGGAAGCACTTGGTCTTTGATCATTTCTGTAATATTTTCCAGGCGGAACGCCAAGATCGATTGATTGTTGCGATTGTTTGCGTCTATGGTGTCGACAATTGTGTTGCTTCTTTTCCCCCAAATTTCCCGTTTGACCGCCAACAATAGAATCTCTCCTCGATCTTGCACTCTCGCCAGAGTCACGTCTTGAATTTCGAGATTCTCCCGAACCTGCAAGAAAATAATTATTTTTTGCTTTCCTATTTCTAAAATTAGTAGATTAAATATATTTTTGTTTGGAGAAATAAAAAATTATTATTTGCTTTTTTAGTTACGATTTTGTTTTAATAAAAAAAAATTGCTACCTCTTCTTGGAGTGGGCGAAATGACTGTGGGTGGTTGTTGTGCTTGTGGTTGCTCCTTTTTGCCCCATAATTTGGCAATATCATTTTTAAGGTCACTAATTGCCGAGTCCCTTCGTCCCTTGGTCGATAATTGACTCCTAATGCCACTGTCAACGGAACTCTCGCGTCTCTTTCTCACGCTCGCATAGTGACTCGTGTGATGACACGTGTCCGTTGTCGCCGATCTCGACCATGGCAAGGATTTCGCAATATCGGCGAGGGTCTCTCTCCTCGAGAGCTTGCTGCCCTTTCCGCCTTTTGTCGACGTGCCACCTCCGCCCCATTCTCTTAAAATGTCAGTCAATTGTGCCAAACTCGAGCGTCTTCGACGCTGATTTGTCGGCGATGTTTCTTGAAGTTCATTCGGTGGTGAGATTGATGTTATCTGCGCTGCTGAATCACGTCTTCCAGTTCCTTTAGACACATAAATATTTCATTAAAATATTTCATTAAAATCGAAAGAGTAAATTAAAAAATAATTAAAATAAAATGTTAAAACAAAAAATAAATTAAAAAAAATATAGAATCACAAAAAATTTTTAAAAATTCAGGATTGCAACAAAAATTTAATTTTGTTTTTCTCTGACTTTTCCCTGATTTCCAGATTCACTCTAAAAATAATTAGATACTCAAAAAAAATTCTGCGATAAGTTTTGTTATTTATGAAAATAATTGAATTCTTGCAATGAATTTTATTAAAAAAAATTTTTAAAGAATTGAATTCCAGTGAAGAATTTTATTTGTGAAAATAATTGAATTCCGGAAAAAAAAATTATTATTCATGAAAATAATTAAATTCTTGTGAAGAATTTTATTCAAATTTTTTTAAATAATTGAATTTCTTAGAATTTTTTAAAACATTTTGAAAATAATTAAATTTCATGGAGAAATTTCATTTAAAAATTTAAAATAATTGAAATCTGATAAAGAATTTAAAAAAATTCTTTTTTAAATAATTGAATTCCTGTGAAAACGTTTATTTTTGAAAATAATTGAATTCTTTGGGGAGAACTTTATTAAAATTTTTTTAATAATTGAATTGCTTCGAAGAAAGTTATAAAAAAAATTGGTAAATAATTGAATTCCAGTGAATTTTTGATTAAAATTTTATTTAAATAATTGATTTCTTTTAAAAAATTTTATTAAATTAAAATAGTGGCAACCCTGAAATTTGAAATCTTACCAAGGCGTTGTTTTAGTGTCGATTCTTCGACTTGTTCCCGAACAAGATCGTCCCATCCGTTTCCACCCTGCCATATTAGACCCACTTGATGACTGAGAATCGGCAAATTGCAGACAAAACAAATCGCTGTCATGGTCCTGAAAAATAAGAGAAATTATAAAATTAATAAAAAAAATACGAATAAAATATATTGTTGCTCTTGTAAAATATATTTTTAAAGCAAATAACTCGATAGAAGAAACGGAAAAAGGTGCTTTTTTTAAATTAAAAAAAAAATATAGAATGAAAGGAAACAATTTTGTAAAGTATACCAGGACATGCCAATATGATTTTCTCCGTTATTCTGCGCTTTTATTATATACATTATGTAATTAATTTCCTTAATAATTACAATTATCAATCAGATTTAAGATATTCTAATATATACAAACTAAATTCTATAAAAAAAAATAAAATTCTACTTCACTTTCTATGAATAAATTAAATTTCCAACGAATTAATTAAATTAGACAGATTTTCCAAAATTCTTTTTTATTATATTTAAAATATTATTTTTTTTTTATTTAAAAATTTTCTTTTGCTTCAAACATTTACACATGTATGTAATTAAATTTTTTGAATCTGTAAAATTTAATAAATTCATAAAAAAATTGATGTAAAAAAAGATTTAAAGTAAGACTACAAAATTGAAAACAACAGACTGGTATATGTCCTGGAAAAAAATTCCTATTTATGCAAATTAGGAAATATTCTACGTTTTAAAATTTTAACAGCAGAGTGTTCCAAAATCAATTAAGCGGCTGAAATAACTATATCTATATGTATACATGATATGAAAAGTCCAAGAATTGGGTTTGATAATAAATTTTTCAAAATAATTTACTATAATAAGTAAATGATAAATTTAATTAATAAATAAAAAGTAAATGATAATAAGCAATAATAAAAATAATAAGTAAGGTAATGAAAAAAGGTAATTTATTAAAAATTAAAAAGGTATTTAATTAAAAAGAAAGGTTATTTTTAATAACGAGAAAGTTAATAAATAAAAAGATAATAAATAAAAAAAATAGTAAATAAATAAAAAAATTGATTTAAATATTAATATTTAATTGTACAGTAGGTAATATTAATAATTCTAATTGTAATTAATGAAATGTATTTGATAATTTATCAATGTATTTTTAATGAATTAATTAATTTTCGAAATATTTACAATGTATAGAATATTTAATGAAATTTAGAGTAATGAAACAATGGAATCAGAAAAAATTCTCGGAATTTCCATACAATTGTTACTGTACAAGAAAGCGTCGAAAATACTGCAATCGAAATCACGTTAGCACCAAGTTGACCTCTGCGATAGCAGTGATACAAAAAAAAAGAAGTATAATGATTAGATTCATTCCAGAAATGCTAAGCTAAGATATACAATAGATGCAATATGTACACTGTTAAAATACTTTTAATACACTTCGAATAAATTAAAAAGGATAGAAAAAATATACTTTCAGAAAAAATTATATGAAGGAAATTAGTTTTCTCCAAATTGAATAAAATAATTATCAAAATTTTATTAATTTTATTTTTTTTATTATTTATTTATTTTTATTTATAAAAGTTAATCACAATTGAGTGAAAATATAGAAAAATATTAATTTTTATTCATAACAAAGTAATTATGAAAACATATAAATAAATGAATAAATATTAAACTATAATCAAAACAAGAATTAATTTATGTAAAATATAAACATTATAAATAAAATTAATCCAAAAATTTCAATAAAAAAGGGAAATTTAAAATAAAAAAGTCAAAAAAATTATTAAATTTCATTTTTAGATAAAGTTGTTAAATTCCAATTTTAAATGAAATTATTAAATCTGAATAAAAATTGAAATAATGAGAATTATGTAAAGAAAAAGAATAAAATATGAGAAGCGAAAAAAAAAATTTTCTTTTCTCTTTTTTCAACAATGAACATAATGCAAAAGACATAAAAAAAAAATGTTAATTTAATTTTTATAATATATAATAGTCGTGTCACGAGAGCCGAAGAACGTCATTCCAAAAAGCATGAATGAAGAGAGCTCGAGATTTTTTGAGATATCAATTATATATACTATTTATAAAAAGAGCAAGAATAAAATTTATTTTATAGCGAATAGAATATAAAAATTTTGAGTGAGAGATATAGCTGATTTTGTATTTTCGACCTGTAATGTCGAAGTCTCGGGCTCTGCAACGACATCGCATGGCAAGAGTCGGGTTGACCTGCAAAAAACACATACGTACTGTTTTTGCCCAATTTTTTTTTATATTCATTTATTCTTTTTTTTTCTTTTTTTTTTGTCTTGTAACTATATAAAAATACGAGCATCTATTTTATTCCGCTCTCGGTACACTTGTACCTAATACCAAAAGAAAAAAAAATTTTCGAGTGAAACTCATTTCATTAATTTTATTAATTTTATTAATTTTATTAATTTCATTAATTTTATTAATTTTGTTAATTTATTAAAACACAATATAAATATGTTTTTTTCGGGGTGTTATTAATTCGAAATATTTATAATTAAATCCTTTTGATGAATTTCTTTGTGCTATTTTTAAATAATGTAGTTTTTTGAATAATTTTAATTGAAAATTTTTGAAAATAATTAAAATAAAAAAAGAATTTTTTTTATTAGGATAATTGAATTCTTGCGAAGAATAGTGTTAAAATTTTTAAAAATAATTGAAATCCTAAGAAGAATTTTATTATTTAAGAAAATAATTGAAATTCTGTAAAGAATTCAATTATTCTCCAAAGAATGTTATTATTTATAAAAAATAATTTAATTTTTACTATGAATTTTACTTCGAAAGGATTTCTTGACAAGAATTCGTTTCAAATTTTTAAAAATAATTAAAATTCTGTAAAGAATTCAATTATTTATGAAAAAAATTGAATTCTTGATAAGAATTTGTTTCAAATTTTTCAAAATAATGGAAATCCTCCGAAAGAATTTATTGTTAATAAAAATAATTGAAATCAAAGGATTGCAAAAAAATTTATTATTTTTAAAAATAACTGAATTTTTGAATTTATGAAAATAATTGAAATTCTCCGAAGAATTTTATTATTTAAGAAAATAATTGAAATCTTCACAAGAATTTTTTTTATGAAGATAATTGAATTATTTTTAATCTTTCTAACCATATTATATTTTTTAGTTAATGTACCTAATTAATATTTTTGAGCAAAATGAAATTTTTTAATTACCTAATTTAATTAATATTTTCGAAGACCTGTCCAGTAGGTATTAAATTTATTTTCCTATTTAAATAATATTTTTAAATATTTTTTCTATTATTAACTAATATTGTTAAAAACTACTAAATTTTTTTCTTTTTTAATTTAAATAATATTTTCGAATACAATTTAACATCGATAGTTAATTTAATGAATATTTTTCAAAAGAAATGTGATGTCGATCTTTATAAACGGGAACTAATGAAGTGTAGAGGAGAAAATTGTTGAAGATTATTGATCAGTATCAGATCTAAATGAAGAGATGAAGGATAAGAAAAGAGAGATCCACTTTATACATTAAAGAAAAGTGGATATTTGTGCTCAAATAATAGGTGTACAGCCTTGGAGAGAATGAACATGAGCGGAAGGAATCTGATCAATGAACTGACAGATTATTGTAAATCAGATTGAGAAGGTTCGATACTTGAATGAAAGAATATGTAAATTTAGACCCAATCGTTATTCTAATAATTAATAATATAAGGTTACATTCACGAATAGGTATAATTGAAATTTGCAAAGAAAAAAATTAATTAGAAATCAGTAAAAAATATAACATTTCAAAAATTATTGTGTTTTCATTTTTTAAGATTAATTTTTAATTAATTTAAAAAATATTGATGAGGATGCAGAATAGAAACGCGTCAGAATGTTGATGTAATTAAAATATTAATATAATATTAATAAAAATTAATAGATATCCATAACAAAATTTATTAATATGTATAGTGTTTAAATATTCTATCTTTTTATAAAATATTTATTTGTTTTAATTTTCAGTAATTAATTAAAGTGAATATATATTTTTAAATTTTTGATTAGATTGATTTAAAATATTAATATAGTGAGTAAATTTATATTTGATATAAATTCGGATAGAATTTTTTTTCGAGTGCCTTCTATAAAGTTTTGATCATTCAGGGAAAGTCGTATAAATAGCAGTACGCACTATTTTCTAGTTTTTAGCTATTCCAGCATTTTATGAAGGTCCTCCCTCGGTATATAGGCCTCTTTGAACCGAAATAAAAAAAGGAATTCCTAAAAGGTTTCGAAAAGAGATTGCATCACAAAAATGTACAATTAAATTGAAAAAAGGATTTTCGTCTCTAAAAGTAGAAAAGAGAAAAAAACAAGATATAAAGTTGTCAACTTTTTCCAATATTTCCAATTGCGGAAAAGAGTAATTAAGAAAAACGCTTTTAGAAAAAAAAGTAAATATTCAGAAAAAAAACACGTTTATCGCAGATTAAATAAATCCTCATAACGAAAGGATATTCGATTGTTTCGAAATAACAGGTCTCGAACCAGTGAAAGTATTTCAAAATACGGATATTACGGACCAAAAATTAAAAAAAAAATTATTTCCACAGAATTGTTAGTTAAAAATATGAAAAATTCAGATTCTCAAAGATTTTAATTTAAAACCTTTTCAAAATTCAATTATTTCTAAATATTTACGCTATATTGCTTTTACTATTCAATTATAATATAAATTTTTAACTGAAAATCATTTTTAAATAAATTTTTATTAGAAAATTCTACTAGAATTCAATTATTTACATACAAAAAAAAACAATTTATTCACTAATTACTTATTTCTTAAAATTGAATTCTCATAAAGAATTTTATCAATAAATTTTTAAATACATAATTGAATTCTTTTGACGAATTTTAATAAAATTTTTAAGAATAATTACATTTTTCGAGGATTTCGATTAAAATTGTATTAGAAATAATTTAAATTCTGCAATGAGTTTTATTATTTATGAAAATAATTGAATTCCTAAAAAGAATTTTATTATTTACGAAAGTAATTGAATCCGTGTAAAAATTTTATGATTTATGAAAATAATTGAATGATTGCGAAGAAATTTATAAGAAAATTTGTAAATAATTTAATTCCTATGCAATTTTTAATATTTTATGAAAATAATTATAGATTTGCGTAGAATGTTATTATTTTTTTTTTTTTGAATAATTGAATTCCTTTGGACAATTTTTTTAAAATAGTAAATATTGAAAAATTGACAAATCATTGAATTTAGGAAAGTTTTTAAAAATAATTGAAATTTTGCCAACAATTTTATTAAAATTTTTTGAAAATAATTGAATTTCGGAGAAGAATTTAATTATTTCTAAAAATAATTGAAATTTTGACGAGAATTTAAAAATATTTTTGAATATAATTGAATGTCTGCGAAGAATTTTACTTCGAAAGGATTTCTTGGGAAGAATTTGTTTCAAATTCTTTAAAATAATTGAAATTCTGTAAAGAAATCAATTATTTATGAAAAAAATTGAATTCTTGATAAGAATTTGTTTCAAATTAAAGAAAATAATTTAAATCTTCCACAGAATTTCATTTTTTATGAAGATAATTGAATTCTTGAGATATTATAAAAATTTTTGAAAATAATTGAAATTCTCCGAGGAATTTTATTATTAATGAAAATAACTGTAATTTTTATTAAAAGTTTTGAAAAATAATATAATTCTTTCGATGAAAATTTAAAATCTTTGGAGAAATTTAATCAAGATTGTATTGAAAATAATTGAATTTTTTGGAAGAATTTTATCAAAAATTTTTTTAAATAATTGAACTCTTTTGGAAAATTTTATTAAAATGTAGATTTTGAAAATCATTGAATTGAGGAAAGTTTTTAAAAATAATTAAAATTTTGCCAAGAATTTTATTAAAATTTTTTAAAAATAATTGAATTTCGGAGAAAAATTTAATGATTTCTAAAAATAATTGAAATTTTGACGAGAATTTAAAAAAATTGTTGAACATAATTTTTGAATGTTTGCGAAGAATTTTATTACTTTTGAAAATAATTGAATTTCTGCAATCATTTGTAATTTCTCTAAAATTCTCCAAATTATATTCGTAGAATTTACGAACTTTTCATCTTTTTTCAATCAATTTACGGACTTTATGGACATTTTTTTTTTAAAAACGGACTTTTACAAGATTTTCGGACCTAGTTCGAGCCCTGAAATGACAGAAATAATAATTGTTTAATTATTTCTTTGAAATAATCAATTATTGTTTCTTAATTTATATTAATATTTATTTTAAGAATAATTGTTTAATTATTTCTTCTGAATAATCAATTATTGTATTTCTGTGCTAACAGACTATCCAGAATATTGTATTTCAAATTATTGACCTGCACAGGAAAAAAAAAGTCTGACTCCGTTTACACCTTAAATTCAGCCCATGTATTTCACATAAGTCTGTCCTTGTTTAATGGGGCTGACTCCGTTTACACCTTAAATTCAGCCTCGAAAACAGGCTAAAAGTAAAACTTTTTTTTTAGTGTGTGCTTTTAAGGAATGATTTTATAAATTAATAATTATTGACAATATTAAACTCTACAAAGTCAAGCCCTGGAGAAAGTTTCGAGGATCTTGATCCTAAAGGGGCAACAAAAGCAAATCGTAACTTCCTCGAACGGTTATACTTTTTGAGGAGTATCGGTTCTCTTCTCCATACACAAATAGAGCCGCTTACTTTCCAAAAAGTGTACCCGCTTTCCCCAAAAAGGAGAACCGTTCTCCCCTCGAGAACGGCTGTTTCGCATTTAACGCAACCGCTCTACCGACAGGTAGAGCCGTTTACTTTTTTTTCTCTCCGTGTAGTAATAGGGGTAATAGGCAATATCGATGTTGCAGTTTGAAAGATTCCACATATATTGATCCTGGTCCTCGAAAATAATATTATTAGAATAATTTAACTAAGGACTTTAAATAATTGACATAATTGACAGCATGTGATTGTTACAGAATTCAATGTTAATTTTTTCGACCACTTTTCTCTTAAAATATTAAATAAATTAAGCTAGTTTTTTGTGAATAACTCTAAAATATCATAAAGAAGGGCAGTGATGTGAAAAAGTTTTAATATTTTTAAAATTATTTATTAAAAAATAACTTTAAAATTATCAGTTCTCAAAATCACTTTCAATCAATTTCTCGT